TCGTTCATAATTCGTAACACATTGTATATTAGATTTATCTTTTAACACTAGGATGGCCAGCTCCTTTGACATCTTTATTTACATTACGCCGTGAAGCAGCCATCTTTAATATATTCAATATTCAAGTCAGGAATAACAAGTCTGAAAAGAAATTCACAAATATTAGTATACCTCCTGCTGAAGAAAGTGATTATTTATATATATATGTATATATATATAAATTATGTGTGTGTATAGATAGATAAATAGATAGATAGGGAACATAAACACAAGTATTATTTCTTGTGAGAAATTTTTCAATGGATTTACTCTATAAATAGCCTAGGTGTCAAAAATGACACCTCGGCCATTCAAGGTAAAACCTCAAATATCAGCTATTCCACTGAATATTTTTTAAAGAATTAAGTCTGTTAAGCATCTTTGCTAAAATTCAATAATTGTCCATAAGTCTCAGCATTGAACCAAAACTAGTTATTCCATAGTAATTTGTTGAAAATTTGAAGGTGTCGAAAACAACACCTCGGCCATCCTAGTGTTAAACAAAAAATAATACCACATTTTCAAACTATGCTCATAAAAAAGTTTAATCTTACTTAAAAGACGTTTAATTTTCTTTCTTTTTTTGATTTTTGCTTACTCACACTCAAGACGATAATTCGTTTGAGTCAAAAGGTTGGACTCAATATAAATTTTAGCTGTCTTATAAATCATCAACAAAAACATCTGTGAAAACATTATTCGTTTACAAAAAAAAAAAAAGGAAAAGAAACGATCAACAAAATTAATAGTTATAACATATCTATTATATTTAATATGCTTACAAGAAAAATTGCTGACAAAATATACTGAATTTAAGAATGATACGGTAGCCTGTTGTCGGAAAATCTTCTGTCTATTCAGTCATGAATCGAAGGAGACATAATCGCCTGAGTGTGTATCAAGTAGGCCAATGACTAATATATGTTTATTCGCGTAGGTATGTATATTTAAGTAATTTTACAACTGCTTTGTACTTAAAAATATTAACCTGCATGCTTCTGTTTATATTCAATTGTAATAACAAGGATAATAATAAACAAAGCGAGTAACGTAATTCTTCCAATATTTTCAACACTTAAGAGAAGAGCGTAATTTAAAAAAAAGAAAAAGAAAAGAAAAAAAGAAAAGAAAAAAAGAAAAGAAAAAAACAGTGTTTGATAATATTAAACAATATTGCAATAATAGTATGTCTGTCTGTCTTCAAGTTATATTTAAAACATTTTTTCGAGTATAAAAATATATAAATCTATAAAAGTTATAAGTCTTTGTACAACGACAGAGTGGACAAATATCTGCACTGGAAAATAAATATTTATTTATATTTACTAAAATTCACATCAAATTCTCCCAGAGCGAGATCCTTCTATTACACACACGTTGGGTTGACCGTGTGCTATTTCTAAGTGTGGGGTCTGCGATGCACTCGCCGCGATAAACAAGCCAAAAACATTATTATTTTTTTCTTTTTTGTTTTAATTATAAAAAATTCCTTTTAAGTACCTTGAATATCATCCGCACTTACGAAATGTGAATAATTCCCTGATTTTTGGTAATTTTTCATTCTGGTTGGAGTTGTTACAAGCTACAAGTTAAGGAAATTTTAATTTAAAATTTGTAATTCCAAAAGAGAGTCAAAAAATTTACGAAAAAACAAACTTTGATTTAAAATTTACAATTTCTTGGGGTGAAGTAATATTTACGATAAGTAACATTATTTGGGGTGAATTAACAGAAAAGATCCAAGTATTGTGAACGCTATATATACAGTATACAGGCTGCGATGGGTAAATTGTCGCCATTTTATATTTTTTAAAAAAAATTTTGCGCATGCTCATTGTTTATTTTTGATTTTGTCTACTGCACAGTGTAATAGGGTCAGTTGGGTACCGTCTGTAAGAAAAAGAGCACCATGACGCAATTTACTCTGCCAGAAATTTGAAAACGGCATATTGCATTGCTTGGCATTCGCGCCGGAATCTCCAATACGAACATTTCAAAGTGTTTGGGTGTCAATCTGAAGACAGTGCAGAGGATTCGGAAAGAAATGGATGAGTCTAATGGTGATTACGAAGGCACGACAGCTCGGAAAACTCATTCTAATGATTCTGATAAGAACTCACGAATTTGTTGGTGAGGTCTTCAGACTCAAAACAGGAACCTATATCAAGTGACTTGAGGAGATAGTGCTTCCCTGGGTCAAGAGTGTGGTTGCTGGAAGATACTATGTCTGGCAATAGGACTCTGCACAATGACACACAAGCAAGAGAACCCAGTCATGGCTGTCAGACAATTTCTGCAACCACACCACCACTTACATCTGGCTGCCTAACTCCCCAGACTGCAAAAACCTTGATTATTATATTTGGGGCGCAGTTGAGCTAATGACCAGCAAAACTCTTTGTAACGCCAAAGATGAAGGCAATGACTATGGCAGCATTCACAAACTTAAATAAGGAGACCGTCCAGAAGAGTTACAGGAGATTCCAAAGTCGTCTGGAGGCCGTGGTTGAAGACAATGGCGATTTTTATTGAAGAAATCTACTCTTTAGTATTTTAAGATATTTTTGTGCAATTTTGGAAAATATATCTCTTAAACTGAGATGTAATTTATTTTCCTTTTTGCGTAATTTAGACGACAATTTATCCATCGCAGGCTGTACATATCCCGTATGTGTGTGTATGTGTGTGTGTGTGTGTTTGTATGTTGAAAATAGACATTAATGTACACATGTCAATCATTCTGCATAATGTTAATAATGAATATGCTAATTAGTACTTCATACAGGAATTGATCCTTGTATTGACCTGTATTTATCTTGTTTACTTCAACTAGTGATTTACAACATGGATGATAACGCCCCCACCTCCCACGATGAAGCTATACACTCTGAGAGGGACAGTAAGTGTCCAGGAGACGTATGCGGGGAGCTATAATTTTAACAGGGCAGTAAGATAATTTAACCTTCTGTATCCTGATTGGGACAAATTACAACTTTTAATATGTGTAACTGTTTATCTTTTTCGCCTATATATTTACATTTTTGGACATGTTTTCAAGATTTATCTGCAATTACCATATGCGTATAGATAAAAAAAAAAATCCTGTCACCTAATGTCCGGCAGAATTTATGGTTTGACCCGTTCTTTGTCGGCTGTTCACACGACAGCGTACTTCCGTGATTGGCGCAGCTATAGTGCAACAAAACGTAAACACATGACTTTAAATCTCTTGCATTAACTCTGCTTATATGTTAAGAAATCTGAGCAAATATTGACGAGCACAGAGGGCAATAAAAAAGGACAGGATTCAAGGAGACAGAAGACAGCGAATGACGTTGCATTCAAATTTTGGAATATCGTAGTTGATAGGAAAGCTAAAAGAGATTCCCACAGTAGGAGAGAAGAAATCATTCGAATGGAACTCACGCTTTCACTTAGTAATTTACACGGTAATCAAGTCCAAATTCTTCTTCTTCTTCTTTGTTCTTCAGGACGTGGGCTATCATGGTTCTTCATAATTTCATGTCCTTAGTTGCTCTTAACAAATTTTGTCTTTTCTCTATCTCTTCTAATTCTTGTCTTTCCAACACAAGCTCGCTAGGTAGGCTATGCGCTGCTCTCCGCTGTCCATCTTGCCTTCAATATATCTTGTCAGTATCTAATTTTCTAAGCCTTCTTTCCTCATTATGTGCCCTAGATTTTCAACAGTGTCTTTCTAATGTTAAGTATGTGTTGGTTTTGTTTCCATTTTCTTTCAAATTTCGTCGTCGATCAAAGAATCGGTATTTGGTATCCTCAGCATACTTCTGTAGAACCATTTCTGTTGTCTCAAGTCCTTTCTTTATCATTCACTGTCATAAAGAAGGACTGATATTGCATAAAAGTTAAGTACTCTTTTCTTTGTTTCTAACGAAATGTTTTTGTTTCTTAATACATTGCTTAGATTTTGGAAGGCATCTTTTGCTATCCCAAATCGACTTCAGATTTCGTTGTCGCATTTTCTGCCTGCTTGCTTGATTTTGTTATCTGCAATTTCTAATTCGCATTTTGAGCTCCTTCTTTATGTGCTGTGTCCCTTCATGACGTAGGCGATCATGGCTCTCCACAACTTTCTGTCTCTTGTCCCTCTGATATTTCTCCAAAGCCCTGTTCCGTCATCCATTTACATAATTTTTTATCTAAATGGCTGTTTAGTACTCTTTTCTTTGTTTCTAGCGAAATTTTGCGATATTGTATATACCGAATATTTACCAACCTGATGCCGGACAAAATTCTGTGTTTGCATTTTCAGTGCATTTCCTATGCAGATATATATTCCTCTTAGTCTAAACCAGCAAAAAGCTATCATGATCAGGCTTACGGCCATATCACTTTGAAACATCGGTTCCTGTATGATCAACAAAGATAAGCAACGTCAGTACCTAGATGGGTGACTGCTTGGGAATACCAGGTGCTATAAGCTTGGATGCGCGGATTTTGAAACGGATAATGGCTTGTAATTGTTAATCGGATAGCCGAGTTCCAATTCCAGTTTGGTTCGTTATATACACTTACGCGCAAATAATAATAATAATAATAATAATAATAATAATAATGATAATAATAATAATAAATAAAATATCTTATGGAACGCTATGAATCCACTTCTTCTCCCCCCCCCCCAGAAATTGGTTAATTACCAAGAGTTGTATCACTAAAACCATTATTATCTTCAAAAATAAAATAAAATTGCACACAAAATATTTAGATTTTGGCATTAAATTATCCATAGAGGCGTTGATATACCGCTAAATAAAAACAACCAACAAACAATCATCATGATCAAGTACTCCCTTCAATAAGTAATAAATCCTTCGGTGAGTAATAAATACCATGCTGGTTAAACCAGCTATTGTTTTACAGAAGGTACCTACTCAAAAATACTCGTGTATAAATAAATGCGTATATACGTGTTACGATGTCTATGCATACAGTATAATCGTGTATCTCAAACTATGGGGTTTTGTGTATTTGTTGCTCGGAAGAGATAAAGGGAAAACTGAAAGATCGAAAAAAGAGAGAAAAATGGTCGACGAGAGAGAGAGAGAGAGAGAGAGAGAGAGAGAGAGAGAGAGAAAGAAAGAAGGTGAGAGAGAGAAGGAGAGAGGTAACCTTGTAAATAATCTGTGTTTAAATCTCTATCCCCGTGTTGGCAGGTTGAAGCGGAAAATTTGTTGGCAGACAAAAGCAAAAAATTACGACGGTCGACATATCATGTTAATCATGAAGCCGTATCATAGGATAGTTTAAATTAGTTGTTTTCCTCGGATTTCAAAATAGTTTTAATTTACTCCCCTAAGGTTGAGTCATAAATAATTTTCAGTTTTTGTTTATCAACTTAATTCAACAACAACAAAAAAGTACAATTACATTTTATTCAATTATATATTCACCATCATTTATATTTCTGAGATGTGGTATTGTAACTATTTACATTGTCCGGACGGTTGCCCTCATGTTTATTTGTCATATTCATGACGTTTCGGCTGTTGTACGCTCCGGCCTTCTTCAGTTTATATATACGTTGGAATTTTGAACCGAACCTTTTATTTAGTCCATGGGTGTAGGCACATGGCCAAGTGGATAAAAGCGTTGGTTGATGTAGTCCAGTGACTTGACCCAAAGGGTTCCGAGTTCAATACCTGTCCACAAAAGCTTCAAGAAATAGTTTTCATTTTTATGGGGTGAAAAAAAACAAACTTGGATATTTGAGTTACTAAAGGGAATTAACTAAAACTGGTATATCCAGAGAAGTCACGTGGAACTAGAACAATTTCTCATCTGAAGATGTCCGGAGTGTACAAAGGCTGAAACGTCGTGAATATGAGAATAAAGATGAGGACAATTATCCGAACAATGTAAATAGTGTGTATATATTCCACCGTTTGTGTAAAACACCGCAGGTTTTGACGTGAAAACTTTCCCGACAGACGCTTGCATCTTGATTTTGAATAGAGAAAGTTTTCCACATCAAAACATTTTTGCAGCGACTGAAGAGAGTAGACATCGTTTGGTGCAAGGTCAGGTGAATATGGCGGATGCATTAGAATAGACCAAAGGAATCCCAATTTTTTTCCTGTTTTAGTCTTGCTGTATACAGTCTTGAGTTTTTATGGAGAAAGACAACATATTTCTTTAATGAAGACTGTAGGTGGCGGGATTGCTTTTCGGTCAAGCATTTAGGGACACATTGCAGCTGCTGAACACATAATTGTGCATATAGTGTTTCACTGTAGTTTAAGAAATATAAATGAATAATACCTTGACGATCGCACCACACGCACAACTATACCTTTTTTTGTGCTCAGATTAAAGTGCGCTAGTGTACACCAAATTTATTCCTAAATGCCACGCATGATTAGTAATTAAGATGATACATTCAATACTATTGCTTCCGCAAAACGAATATTACTTATAACCCAACCTAATATATTAATTTACTTACCGTCGAATAATCTAAATATTCCACAGACACTAAGAATTTAAGACAACAAAACTCGCATTAAAAGACATATGACCTTTAATTTCTTCCTCATTAACTGACTGACAAATTTTTCTTTTGGCATCAAATAATTTTTCATATAACTGTCTCGCATAAATCTTTCTAAATCACAAGAGATAAAAATTAGGTGCCTACAAAGAAATGCGATACATAAGGTTTGAAATAATTTAAAAAATAATGAAAACTATTTTTTGAAACTTTTGTTTTAGTTTTAATTTCATCCTAATAAGTTAAATTTTATAGTCCCAATGAGCAAAATACTTTGCTGGATTTCAATACGAATTTAAATTGATTGGAATTTGTTTTTCTTTTTTTTTAAATTGCTAAAAACTTTCTGATTTCAGCCATATTTACAATTCTTTCAGCAGAACATAATTCTCTTTATTAAAAAAAATCTTTCAAAAATAAAATATACTTTTTCTGAAATTATATTTGAGGAAGATTAGCTGATTTAAAGTTTAATTAATTGAATGTGGAAAAATATTACTTTTAGTTTAAAATATCGCAGAATTGCATTTTTTAACACAGAGATTGTTTGTATGAGGTATTGACAGCTCTACTGACAGCCTGAAATTTAGATATTTTTTCAATCTAGCACATATCTGTAAAAGTTTTTTGGGGAATATAACGTGAACGCCTTTTTATACAACACAGTAATCTTAAAGAGAATAAAATATTCTCCGTAATCTAATGTTTTACTGAATTTAAGGTACTTTAGCTTTAAATTTATTATAGTTACCACTCTTATTTTCTGATAACGGCGTGTATGGACATCCATAATTCCACAAATCGGCACGTTTATATATACGCAAAAAATTCAAAATTCATTTCAAAATACTGGAGGAAGCTTTTTATTTATAAGGAGTAAATATAGTTTTTACTCAATAATATCACCTAAGCGATACAAATTATTACAGAATTTTAGAAGATTTAAAACTTTATGAATTATTCTAATTAAAATTTTTAAATATGAAAACAAATCTTGTAAAAAATCATTATTCCACGAAAAAAAAAATTAAGACAATAGTGTTCATAATATATCTTATTCATAAATGCAGTTAAAAGCTTTTCTAATTAAATAATGTCATAGTTTTGTTGCATTTTTTATTTTACGATTCAGAGCAGAATTTCTGTAACTGGGGGTCCTTTTTTACAAAAAGAAATTGATGATTTAAATTATATTAGTGCAAATAGTTCTCTGTAAAACTAATATAAACATCTAGCGGTATAAAAATTAATTTCTGGAAATTTCATAAAACTAAGTGGTAAGAGATGTGATAAAAAAATGTTTTGACCAAGGTTTTCTAAAAAGAAACATTTTTCAATAATTTAATTCAGTTGTGAATATGTTCTGAAAGTTTCATTAAAATCCGATACTTACCTGATTTATGCAAGACTTTCCAAAACAATATGTTTTTTCACCTTTAAACAGATGCTAAAATGACCTATATTAATCTTTTCCCTCCCAACCCATGCGAATGCAAGAAAAACAAAATTGTTAACCAAAATTTCGGACGTTCTAAAAATAATAAAAAAATATAATTTAATCATCAAAAAATCCTTTGGTCTTTCCTCTTAATAATAATAAAAAATTTTGATGACAAAACTGTTTTTATAAATTTTGGAGCTTTTTTTTTGCATCATGGTATGCTCATTTTTATCGAATCTTTGTAAGTGCCTAGATATCATATAGATGTAATTAATTCACTTATATTGATGCATACCTAAATATTAAACGTCCCGATATATGTTTAACTTCTTGGATTTTTAATGGTATGAGACGAAGCATTGTCAATTCGTAGGTGTGTTTTTAAAAATATTTTAACAAGTATTTCTTTCCTCTGAATTTCAGTTGCCTTTTATCGCAATATGCTCAAACCATCATTTTATGGTCATTAATAAACAAAGGTGATCGGAAATAAAGAACGATTTCTTGGTGAGACTCGAAGCGTATCCCTTTTTTATTTTTTTCTCTCGGGAAGTCAACCCGGCTGGTCTGTCATTTTGAACTATCTTGGTACAATTCAACTTACGTACGAGTTCGTTAGGTTGACTTTGGCAAATATATGAATCCATCACTTCTCTCCATGCCACGTAAATAGCAGAGTAGACTTGGCTCTCTAGTCTTGATTGGCAACTCGTATAGAAAAAGGACAAATCTAACTTCAAAACCGCTAGCAAAACAACTTGCAACAACACCTAGTGGGATTAGGCTGAAACCATATAGTCCACAGGAGGAATACGGTGTTGTCAATTATTAGGCAGCTACATAAATAAAAATTCAGCACACACAAGCTGAAACGTTATTAGCCAAACACATCCTAGAGTGAGTATTTCAATTATATATATATATATATATATATATATATATATATATATATATATATGTGTGTGTGTGTGTGTGTGTGTGTGTGTTCTGTGTATTTACGCAGCAAATGTTCTTCAAGGCAAATTTATTAAAGACAACAGACATTTTGCGTCGATTAATTTTAATGATCGACTTTTCCAGGTTTCAAATAATCCTTCTCAGACAACAGGAAATTTGTCTCTAACTTCCGATCATTAAAATTAATCTGCACAAAATGTTTGTTGTCTTATATATATATATATATATATATATACATTTATATATATATATATATTGAGAAACTGTCGTTACATCCGATGTGCTCTCAACAGACTCGGATACAAATGGGCGTCGTCGATGAAGCAGGCCGCATTGTGGCTTATAATTGCAAATCCTTCTCAGATTCGAAAGTTCCTATCTACTCAGTTTCTTATCCAAACGTAAACAAAGCAATTTCTATTGCTTCTTTTTAGACATTGACGAAACTGACCAGATATTAACTTTCGAAAATCTGGGAAGGATTTGCGCTTATAAGGCACTATTCGACCATGCTTGATCGGCGACACCCTTCGTGGCCGAGTCTGTCTAAAACACACACACACACACACACACACACACACACACACACACACACACACATATATATATATATATATATATATATATATATATATATATATATATATATATCATAATATGATAGAATAAAGAAAAAAATAGGAAACGTTTATAAATTTAATATGTACGCATCACCGATAACAAAGGCACCATCACCAACAAAAACATGAAATTCATAATCCTACCTTCTAAGACTTGAACAAACTAGTTATCCCCAACACTAAAATTATTACCATCACCTCCAAAACAATCTAGATCTAGTTAGCAAGAAACATAGACCCAACACCACATTAGATGCCGGGGTTTATAATATAAACGCCTGTCACGCCAGAAATGGTATAGAGGCGAAACCTCTAAAAATCTAAAATCCCGCTTCTGTGACAATAAGAGAGATCTACTCTGGAACAACCGTTTGAACTCGCTCGTAACATACAGAAATAAAACGGGCCATAACTTAGAAAATCCTGATAAATATTTTCCCATCAATTCACACATGCCAAACAGTTTATGATATCACCAAAGATTTAAAATCAATGTTTAAAGAATCTAACATCATCTACCTAAAACAACAACCGGTGTAACCTAATTTTTTCACTGCCGCGCCAAACATCCCCCAATCAACATAAACTACCGGACAGAAAAAAAAATGCGCACTAGACGCACAAACGCGCACACACTATCAACCAAATCCTGCATAGACGAACTAGTATTGTGATACACAAACACACAATAATTATTCACACAAATGCTATCTGACAAGATAAATGCACGTGATGTCTACTTAACCAATGAAAATCAAACAATATAAAATAAGAACAAATAAAAATAACAGACATTTTTCAACGCCATATTTTATTTCTTACGAAGCTTAAATAAAAGCGAAACGTGTTAAATCTATAAACGTTTCCTATTTGTTCCTTATCCTAATATTCTGTCGGATTCTAATCCATATATGATTCCAATTAATACATACAAATATATATATATATATATATATATATATATATATATATATATATATATGTGTGTGTGTGTGTGTGTGTCTGTATCTGTGTGTGTTTGTGTGTGTGCGTCTGTTTGTGTGTGTGCGTGGGTTTGTGTGTAATTTGGATGTATGTATAATAAAATTATTACGTGTGTTAATCACGGGTAAAATGCGAATATGGGTCTTTTTTTGAAATCATATGTATATGTGTGCGTAAACTGTGTAGATGTGGGTGTAAGAGTTTTTAAAAGTAAGCAAGAACATTTCCATATGATTATAAACAGTAAGTGAATACATATATATATATATATATATATATATATATATATATATATATATATATGTGTGTGTGTGTCCTTTAAGCGTCTATAAATGTTAATGTGTGTTGTGTTTTGTGCGCGGCTGCGTTGATGCAAGAATCTGCAGCGAAAATGACCTGAAAAAAATCTCTCCTCCAAAACAAAACATCTCCCATCCCGACAAAACTCCCGAATTTCACCATTGCGTTGATTATAAAGCTTCATACGCTTTCCATTCTTTTCCCCGCAACCTTCCTCTTCCCCACCCCTTCAGTTTGCATCTTTCCCGATTTATGCATGACTTGAAACTATGTGCATATTCATCCACCCAGCCCCATTCTTTGGCTCCCGCCCTTTTTTCTCCCCCGTTGCATTTTCTTCTGTTCCTGCCTTCCACCTCTTTTCCTTTCTTCATAATACCAAAAACGAACATTTAGGACAGTACAATCATAATTGGGCCCAATTTTCCCAGTATTTGGTCAATATTCTGTAATTTTGTGCAATTTATAGGTCGTAATGCGCCCATTAGATGTGTGGGTCGATGTGAGACTTGCTTGCGCAGAACTAATGATTCCGCGCCACCGAAGAAGGTAGACCTTCCCCCGGTGGGGCGTCCACAAAGGGAAGAAAAGAAATGAAAGCAAGAAGAATAAAAAGAGAAATAAGGAAGCACTGTAAAAGAAATTGGGAGACTTAAAATACTATAAAAATAAAGATTGATGGTTATAAAAGAATAAAAAAAATTGAAAAATGAAAAGCATAGAAGAAAAGAAGAATTGACTAAAGGGAAGAAAAATGAAGCAGGAACGAAGGCAATGAAGAAAAGAAAATATAAAATGACAAAGAAAGAAAGAAATGATGGAAGAAATGAAAGAAAGAAACAACAAACCAAGAAAGACTGTACTTTAAAAAGAAAGAAAGAAAAACCATAATGTGCAAATAAATAAATAAATAGATAAAGGAACGAACGAACGAAGCAAGCAAGCAAGAAAAACTGAAAATTGAAAAAGAAAGAAAGAGTAAAGTGTAAAAAGAAAGAAATACCAAAGCGTAGAAAGGAAAGAAGGAAGACCGAAATGTAAAAAGAAAGAAAGACCAAAATGTAGAGAGAAAGAAAAAATAAAGCTTACAAAGAAAGAAAGAAAGAAACGAACGAACGAACGAAGCAAGCAAGAAAAACCGAAACGTAAAAAGAAAGAAAGACTGAAAGAAAGAAAGAAAAAAAACGAAAGCATACAAAGAAAGAAAGAAAGAAAGAAAGAAAGAAAGAAAGAAAGAAAGAAAGAAAGAAGCAAAATAACAGAGATAAAAAATATATATTGGAAAGAGAAATTCTGGGTGGAGGGTCAATCTAAGAAAAAGTTGGTGAAAAAAAAAGAAAAAATTAAAAAGGATAAAAACGTAAGCTTCTATGAAAGTCTTTTTGTTTGTTGATGTGACTTTCTTTCACAGACATCGAAAAAAATATGTCGAATAAAAAAAACAGTACATATGAAAACAATAACGCAGAAGCTATTAAAAAAGAAGATAAAAACAGATAATGCCAATTGGGAAAATAGAACGATAAAGAGAAGAATAAAAACTGAATCTTAAGAAAAATAATAACAGTAACAATATTGATGATGATGATAATTACAATAAAGATGAGTGTGATTAGGCAGATGATGAATGAAGAAAAGAATAATAATGCTAATAATGATAAGTTTGAAATGTAAAAATAACGGCAAAATACGGATAATAACCATAATAGTAATAAATGAACTGAAATGAACTGAAAAGAACTGACACAGACAAACGGGCATTACAAAAAGAGGAAGCGAAAATGCTTAGGTCAAATATTATCAGTAAAAGCAATAGATATAGAACAAAAAGTCTTGGCTTATCAGTTTTTGCCTTTGTGGAAGCAAAAGAAAAAACTAAAAAACTAAAAGGAAAGATGAAGGAGAAAAGAAAGGGAATGAAAAAAAAATCCTTTCGAGCTACCGGAAATGAATTCCTTTCCCTTTGTCAGCAAAGAATCAAAATCTCGGAAATTAACGTTTATTTCTCGTTTTGCAAGTAGAATGACGTGTGATTTAATTTTTATTAAGTGATATTTAAGGGACAAAAAAAGCCTTATGATTTGAACAGAGTAGATGATGTATTAATTTGTAAATAGTCTTCAACAGTTTTACTGTTTTTACTAGAATATTGAAAGACAATAAATTAAGTGCTTAATAAAGATATCCCATAAATGTGAATGGGATTACACAATGGGAAATGAATTGGAGCCGCAAAGTGAATAGACAAATTTTATCAGTGAATTTTATCAGTAATACGAACGTTGAGTGTAATTTCTTTTTTTTTTTTACAAGTTTATGAAGCCATCAAAAACAATGAGTTTGAAAAAACAAGATATTTCTACTGCCACAATCATCGTTTGGTCTTTTCTATTTTCTATTATCTAAGTGTAATATCTGTATAACAATAAAATAAAATATCTTCGAAGTGGGGGATCATGCCTCTCCCCAACTTCCTACACTTCGTAGCTCTTAAATTTGTACTATCCCTGTTTTGCTACCCATTTACACTACGTTATGTACACTAGTTGCTGTTTTCGAAATTTCCTGTGAGTGTTAAATTTTCCAAAACTTGTTTCCTCATTATGTATTCCAGAAAGTTCAACTGTCACTCTTTGATTTTATGTATAATTCATCTTTTTGTTTCCATTTCTGAAAATTTTCTTATTGCTTACACACTCCGTCTATGGTATTCTCGACATCCTTCTGTAGAGCCACATCTCTGATCCCTCAAGTATTCTATTCATCTGTGTGGAAATGTTCGCCATTCACTGTCAGATAAAATGATTGGTATTATATAGCAGTTCAACAACTTTTTGTTTGTAACGATTTTTTGCTGTTTATTAATTTAATTTCATTGTTTAGTTCTTGGGAGACTTTTTTTTTGTTAATCCAATGAAACTTTGGATTTCGTTATTACATTTTTCGTTATTTGTTAAAATATTTCTGCATATTTTTTTAAAATTATATCACCTTATGCAAGGTAGCAAAGCCACTAAGGCACAAAGAGTTATTGAGTGTTAAAGAATATAAAAAAAGAGAAACATTTTTAATGAGCGAGAACAATAGAAGAGCAATCAAGAATACAGTGAATAACGATTGATAATGCATTTAAATTCTTGAAGAGCAAAGTTGGCTGGAAAGCATGGAGTCAGATAGTTTCATAAGCGAGAAGTACGAGAAAAGAAAATGTTAGCATAGAATTTACGGTTACGTCTAGCTAATTCAACTGTGAATTGATGAGACCTTGCCGCCAATCTAGTACTGCGCTTAAATTCATAAAGTCTAGGTACCACAGCGAAGGCTTCATCCGAACAGTTAACATGAAAGTAATTATAGAAAAGACACAGAGAAGCTACATTACAGCGCTTGGAAAATGACTGAAACCGAAATACCAGATCAGGACCAATAACATTCCAGATTCTTTGGATTTTATCAAGAATCTCTGAATATACAGCAGGAGCACCAGTCCATATGAAGCAACAATATCCAAAGCATAGACAAATGGAAGATTTATAAATATAAGATAGCTTCCGGAAGAATAAAAGACTTATAAATGTAAGATAGACTTATAAATATAAGATACCTTACGGAAGAATAAAACACTTATAAATATAAGATAGACTTACAAATATAAGATAGCTTCAGAAGAAAAATGTCTAGCACATCATAGTAAACCAACAATACTTGTCTGATTTTTACATTTCCAATTTTCAGAGAGCATCTTGGGCTTTCTCTCTTTTTAATAATTATTTATTATGTCTTCTTAAAATTGATAGTCCTTTCTTTTTTCTTTCTTTTACTGCCTTCTTCTGTAGTTTTCTTTCTGCGTCTACCATTAATAAATTAGGATAGCCTTTCTATAGGGGTTGAATAAAATCGACGGAATAACACAACTTATTTTACGCCCCATTCTATTTTCGTTTTCTCTCTCTAGGCAGGTGGTTTACTCCCGGTATAAAACAGTATAAGTTTTATAATTCTATAATCAATATAATTCTATAATAAATTCGATAATAAATTCTATAAGCTAAAAATATAGAATAAAAAAAAAGCAATTATGTTACTTTGCCATTGCATCTTTGTTAACAAAATTTAATAAACCTGACAGGAATCGAGATTTTCTACATAAAATAACAATTCTAAAATGAAGTATTGTAATTATTCTGTGAATTCTTCAAGAGAGCATGTTTGTCTTTATCGTTTTGATGTGCAAGTTTCAACCGAATCATTCTATGGCCTCTTTATTAGGTGCATGCTGTATTCGGTAATTTCTTTGTCTTTTGACTTTGGAATTGGTCAATTGGTGAAAATTACCCCCCACCCCCCTCAAGAAAAAAAAAAAAAAAACAACAACAAAAAACATAGAGGAACTCCGGAGAATATATCACCCGAAACATAGAACTGAAAACAGTAAAGATAAGGATATTCAACAGAAGTAATTCATAGAATAAATTTTGTCAGTCTTTACGATTACTTAGCTATTACTCTTATGATGATTTAACAGCTGTGAATGTCCTTGAGCAACAACGTGACTAAATGGCTGGTGAATACATCAACTTTATCTTAATAATTGGATTTCGTTTTACTCTTTAATTTTTTCAGTCATATTCAGGTGTACGAGTAAAGGGTTTCTTTGCTTTTACAGCACAAAATTATCGCTAACATACTAACCATTATAATAAAAAAAAAAGATCAGCGAAAACGTTGTGATAACAGCACCATCAGTACAAAAGAATTAGCATATTCCGTAAATGCCAGGGATGTTAGTGACGCCTTCTCAAAATTATAAATTTTTATTTTTATAAGATGAAGCACTGTGAACTGGTGTTAATCATTGATTAATATTTCTTTCATATTCGTTTTAGTTGCTTTTCATCACGGCTCGAAAAAATACCTTTTTTGTTTCTTATCCGCGCTGTTTATTGATAGGCGTAGACTGACAGGAGTAAAATGTCAATATTTGAATGATACTCCCTTGGGATTCAAATTTCTACTCATGCTTAGATAAACTCTCAAACTGGCAATTTCCGTAGGAAAAGCGAAAACATGAGTCGCCTACGTCCACAGACGGAGAAATTAAATTAAAGCTTCTTCATCTCCTTCACATAAAGAAAAAGTAACGACTTGTTGTTCAAAGACTCTCTGAAAACGGACTCTTTTGTTTTATTTTCTCAAGTAGTGTTATATTTTAGTTGTATTATTGTCTGTCTGTCTGTCTGTTTGTCTCTCTCTATATATTTATAGGTACCAACATGTGATCACTGGAAAATGAGCATAGCAGGATAATAACGGCCTCAAACTTGATGAAAATAATTTTTTATCGTCTAAATGATTATGTTATTATCAAGAGGAAAGATCAAAGTATTTTATTACATTATTTACATTATTCGGACTATTGTCCTCATCTTTGTCGCCATATTTATTACAACGTTTCGGCCGTTGTACGCTCCGGCCTTCTTCAGGTGGTTGGAATGTCGAACTGAACCCTTTATTTCGCTCACTGGGGTGGACTGTTCTAGTTCCACGTGCCATGTTTTGATGGATGTCAGTTATCAGTTATCTCCTGTTAATTTCCCCTCTGAAAGTTCTCCACTGCCTTAACCTTAACCTTAACCGAATATTGAACTCACACTCTTTGGGTCCTGTCACTGGATCTAACCAACGCCTTTATCCACTGTGCCATGTGTCCTCAGAAATATAGACAGATCAAAGTATTTGTTGCTTATATTTTTACATTTTTTAATAATTTCTAGCACGTCCAAAATTTTCGTTAAAAATCTTGTATGTTCTTGGTCAGCAAAATTGACAGAAAATCGATCGCCAGCCATTTTTTAAATTTTTGTTTACAAAAGTGAAAGTCTCCGTTTAAAATTCTTTTAAAAAATTAATTATGATTTTTTAAAAAATTAATTATGATTTTTTAAAAAATTAATTTAAGAAAATTAAAAATTTAAGAAAATTTAAAGTTTATTTAGTATATTTTGAAACAAACATTACTTACTTTCTGCGCTGAAAAATGTACTTTCAAATGAGAGAAAGCCGGTTTTCAAGTGACATGTGCATGATTTCATCACGCACTGACATCTTAGGGGAGGAAAAGTTATAGTACGGAAGGTCACAAGTCACAGTTTAGCTTTATGTGAACAACTTGTTTACCTCGTTATTTTTAAGTAGGCATTGCATGATGAAAACGACCTTAAACTTGACGAAAGCAGAATTTTATCTTCAAAATGTTTATGTTACTACCAACGCAAAGCACGTGACGGACTATTGTTTTCATGATTCTTCCGGTCTTCCGTATATTTGAATTAAGCTATTTTTGGACACAAAAAACCATGTTATATTAGATTTTTATCTATTTGCAGATTGCTGATGGTAACCAGCTTTATTTTATAATCTATAATGATATTTATCTACTTAATAACACCATTGACTAAACTGTACAATATTTTCATTAATTTTAGAATATTTAACAACTTTAATGTAAAAAAATAAAATAATTTCAGAAATAACAAATAATTGTTGT